AAGTGAGAGAGTTCATATATTTAGCCCAGTCCCTGGCAAGACACTAAATGTTCAACAAATATAGATATCTTTACCTGTGCCATAGTTCTGGAAGATGTGGTTCCTCAAATTGTCCAGGCCTGTGACAGATACTGGACGGGCTGAGCTGGGGCCTTGGCACAGAATTAGCCTCCTTGACAGGGCAAGCCTGGCACTGGTCTTGCAGGGGGAACGAGTATTTTAGGTCAGGCACCCAAAAGGGGGAGCTTATGCGCCCTGGTCCCCTGGGAGCCTGTCCTTGGAGGGGCACCCCGGCTGGCTTAGCTGTTGCCCAGGAGAGTTGCGGGGTCCCTGAGCGGGCTATGCTGCTCCTCTCTCTGCCAGTCCTTTCTGGGAAGTAGATGGGCACACTCAACGAGAGGACGGCTTCAGAAAACACGCCAGCCCCGCGTCCTCTCTGGTGAGTGCAGCGACCCTCAGCCCAGTGACTGCCACAGCCTGACACGAGGCCAGTTAACCACTGGGGGGGCGAGGGCTCTGTCCTTGTGAAGCCCAGGAAAGGGGGCACCTTAGGGCAAGGCCCTGGTGGGATCAAGGTATAGCGAGTCGGTGGGCCTTTGGAGACACTGAAACATCAAGTTGTTTAGCCACCACTTAGCCGTAGGTCCAGCCCTGCCAGGGGCAGGGATGCCACCACGATGGTGGATGCTGCCCTGATGGTAACCTGTTGGCTGGACCCAGAGACAGGAGGCTTTGGGGGTTGGGTGTAACATCGGGGGGGGGGGGCATGGCCGTGTGCAAATAAATGGTCCTCACCCCAGGATTCTTGTTGGTCTATGTTGGCCTGAATCTATTTTTATAGGTAGAGGTCAAACCCCTCAAGTTCAGATGGAAAGATCACAACTGGAAGGTGAAATAGTTCCCAGAGCTCATGGCCAAAGGTCAGGGTGGCACAGGGCTTCCGAGGAGTGTCCTCTAAGAGCAGGGCTGGCTGTCATAGGAAAAGGGCAGACTTTGCAGAGTCTGCTCTGTGTGGTTCTCATCGCTCCCCAGGCATTGCTTGGTGACTTCTGTCAAGTCCCTTGATTTAAGTTTACCTGAGCCTTGATTTCTTCATCTGCAGAATGGGGATGATAATACCGACTTGTCATGGGCAGTGACATTGCTGGCCTTCTATAAATGCAGTGATCTTTACTGACACCCACTCACAGCTTTTTTCAGCACGTGCTATGTGGAGTCGTGGGTTGGGACTGGCGAGGGTAAGCGAGTCAGACAGGGACGCTGTCCTCATGGCCCAGGAATTAGTATAACATCACGTGTGGCAAGGCTGCCCTGCCAAAGCTCCTGGGATCCAAGGAGCACACGCTGCAGAGCAGGGAGGGAGGTCCCTTTGCCTCCCAAGGTCTTCCCCCTCTCCCGGGCTTTGTACTGGGTGCTGATGTGCCACTGTAGAGGGTGCTCTCCAAACCCCAGCCAGGGCTGGTGGGCTGGTGGGAGCGAGAGAACGTGGCCTCCGTGGGAACAGGGCTTGCTGCTCGTGGCTTCCACGTGGGCACGTCTGACGTCGGAGCTCCTGCAGCAGCCCCTTCCCTCTCCAAGGTCTCCAGGACAGGGCGATGGCCACGCAGCTCTGCCGTGGGTCCTGTAGGCACCAATGCCAATAGGGCCCAGGGGTACTGACGGAAGCCCAAGCGGCCAAAGGAGAGCTTCTGGACCAAACTGACATCTCTGGGCCAGGGTCAAAATTGTGGAGGAAGGAGACAGGTGGGTGCTGGAAGGGGCTGGACCTGGGAAGAGACTGCAGAAGTGGAAGAAAGGGTTTCTCATGTGTTCAACAAACATGTATTGAGCACCTACTACGTGCCCTATGCCCTATTTGGCAACTGCCTTTTCTCAAAGCTGGGAGTGAAATGGTCTGTGATTCTGGTCCCTGGGCCCCCTTTGCCAGATTTACGTGAGCCGAGCTACCTGCTGGCCAGGAAGGAGGAGGCTGGAAGGCCATCTGGAAATCAGCAGGGAACAAGGCAGACAAAAATCTCTGCCCTCATGGTGCTGACATTATCGTTAAGAGAGACACATGATCTGTAAGTAAAATATGCAATATGCTAGATGGTGATAATTGGTCAGAAGGAAAAATAAGGCAGGGAAGGAGGGGATAGGAAGTGTGTAGAAGACCAGGGGAGACCTCATTTAGCAAGAGCATGGAAAAGATCTGGAGAGAGGGGACTGGGCAGGATGCGTGGCTCCGAGAACCCTCCCGGCCATGCAGTAGCAGGTGCAAAGGCACTGAGGTGGGGTGTGCTTGGTAGGTGCGAGCAGCCCAGGCTGGGGAACTGCGCGAGTGAGAGGGGGGCAGTGGGAAGTAGGTCAGAGGTGAAGAGGGAGCTGAACATATAGGACCTTCTAGGTCACAGGAAGGACTGTGGGGAGCAGTGGAGGGCTCCATACAGAGAATGGCAAGATCTGCCTTAGATTTATTTCCACAGGACCATTTGGCAACTCTATTGAGAACAGGCTGTACGGGGCAGGGGCAGAAGCAAGGAGGCCAGTTCGGAGGCCACTCCAGTATTCCAGATGTTCATTCCCACTGCCCCCGGTACACAACATGCTTCCTGGCACAGAGCAGGCACGCAGCAAACATTACTGAATGATGTGTGAAATCAGCCTGGTGCCCCATAGGTGGTATGGAGCCGGTGTAGAAAAGCAGACCCCAGGCGTTGCTGCTGCAGATCTTGATGCAGTGGGTTTCTGATGGGAAAAAGGAATCTGGATTTTTTTTAAAAAATCCTCACCTGAGGACATTTTTCCATTTTTTAATTTAGATAGAGCAGGAGGGAGAGAAACATCCATGTGAAAGGGACACATAGAGTGGCTGCCACCCTCATGACCCAACCAGGGCCGGGGACAAACTGCAACCGAGGTACGTGCCCTTAGCGGGAACCGAACCCGGGTCTCTCTGGACCGCAGGCCGACGCTCTAACCGCTGAGCCAAACCGGCCAGGGCAGGAATCTGAATTTTTAGTACAATCTGTAGGTAATTCTGGGCAGCAGGCTGGCTGTCTGTGTCAGAAATATTGTTGTCTGCAAATAATAGGGATTGACCAACGATGGCTTAAACAAAGAGGGTTTATTTATTTAAATATGTTTTTATTTATTTATTATTTCTTTTTAGAGAGAGAGGAAGGGAGAGAGGGAAACCTCGATGCGAGAGAGAAACATCTGTTGGCTGCCTCCTGCATGCCCCTCCTAGGGATTGAGGCCCCAACCCACAATCGGGGCATGTGCTGTGACCCGAACCCATGACCTCTTGGTTCATGGGACATCGCTCAACCAACTAAGCCACACTGGCCAGGGTAAGAGGGCTTTGTTTTTATTTACAAGAATTCCGGAGGGGATGGCTGCTGGCATTAGCTTGGTCAGATGATGATAGGGTCAATGTCTTTGAGGGTCTCCTGGCCTTTTTCTTATTGTAGCAAGAGGGCTGCTGTGGCTCCAGGCATCACATCTCAATTAGGGCAGAAGAAGGGAGGGCAGGGCGGTGTTACCATGTCTCTCTTTGATCAGAAGAGCATGAGCTTTCCCAGAAGTCCCTGTAGACTTCCTCTTACATTTCACTGCCCACACCTGGTCACATGCTCACCCATGTTGCAAAGGAGGCTGGACAGTGAGAATCTGATGTACAACCTCAACAGGGGGAGGTGGCTGGACAGAACTGGGACTGACCACTGGGGAGCAGCAGGGGTGTCTGCGGTGGCTTCATGGACCAGTGGCACTGGAGGCTTTGTCTCTGTGACTTGCTACCTCCCTGAAGCACCCCTCGTAACCCTTGAGTGACATCCCAAGCCTTCCCTGGGAGGGGCGTACTCCAGCCTAGACATGGCTGAACAACACATGGACCCCCGAGGCGGCTTCTTTGGGGAGGGATGGGACATCTTGAACGTCACCTCACCTGGCAAACACTGGAAACACCGAAACAACATTCTCTCGAAGAGTCACCTCCGAGAGCCTTTGGAGCCCGACTTACGCACACGCTCACACTTTGTTCACCCTCAAACACAGTCAGGAGGAAGAACAGGGTGACCGCTTTCCTCCCGGGCCACCGCTGGTCAAGGACTGAACGGCGTCCCGGCGGCAGCTGTTGGGGGCAGTTTTGGGTGAAAAATGCTTCTCTGGCAATATGCCCAGTCACCGTCAATGGTGGGTCACGAAGCCAGAGGCAGGTTTATTCTTCTGGGGAGAAACAGGCCTGGTTTATTCTCTAAATCTTGGAAAATGGGAGCAAAAGGTGAGAACATTTGTCTTGCAGGGAGGGATATCTGAGGAGGAAAGTCCCTGGAGCTGGCCAGGTGGTAGGGACCAGTGGGAGTGGGTCTCGGGTTCAGAGGCGAAAATGGGGACTCAAAGGGGCCAGTCCATGGGGTCACAGCAGGGTCTCCAATCCACTGTTTATCTTTCCAGAAACCTACTGGAAACCACTGCATATTTGCTCTCCACAGCTTTTAGGGAAAGGTTAAAAATAATATTTTTGGCTAGAATTGCACCACAACAGTGTGGTAAGAAACGCAGATTGGCAACGATACATATCTCTGGTGAGAACCAGCCACATACCTGACAATTTGCTAGGCTTTTAAAGTCTTCTCAGGCCGGGGGTCCCTGGGGTGGGCTGGATAATAAAGAACCCGGAGGGCAACAGAGGCGGATGGGAACCTCCAGGCCACAGGTCCATGGGAGTTGGGGGTGGAGATGGCTTCAGGGAGGAAGTTTCCAACATTCAGCACCCCTGAGTGCTCCAGCCTGGCTGCGCAGTGTCCTAGGGGCTTGTTAGCAACGCAGACTCCCAGCCCTCACCCCAGACCTATCGAATCGGAGCTGTGTTTTAACAAGACCCCGGTGATTCGCAGGCGCAGTACAGTTTGAGAAGCACTGTCCTGGACTTCGGGAGCAGGGAGGCTGCAGCCTGGCGCTGTGGTCACAAGGCCTGGCCAGGGAGGGCTGTGGAGGGGACGGGGCAGGGGGGGGGGTGCTGGCAAACTCTGAAGCTGTCTGGGTTAGTATGCTTCCCACCTGCTTTGATGTGAGCCCCAGGGGCACCCGTAGGCTACCCTGCCCTTCCTCACCAAGGACAGCTACACTTGCTTAGCTCTCAAGGCAGGTGTCCCCAAATGCTCCGATTAGTAGCCTCACACCTGGCTGCAGGGAAATTCTGAGACCTGTGAGTTGAGCTGCCCAGAGAATCAGGGTCCCACGGGGGAGGGGGCTGGGCAGAATGGAGGCTGTCAGGCCGGGAGGCCCCTGTCCCTCCCCTGCTCTGCAGGAAAAGCCTCAGCAGGGCTCAGACGCTCCTGCAGGGAGAGGTGCCCTGTGGAAGTTTTCCCAGAGTTTTCCTCTTGGAGTAGGAGGGGTGAGCGCTCAGAAGGAAAATCCTGGGAGCTCAGGGACCCCAGCTTTGCGGGGGGGAGGGGATAGGCAGGGCCTCTGGAACAACGCATTTTTACAGGAGCAAGCATGAACATAACAGATGTCCCAAAGCCCGGGCCCAGGGCTGCGGACACGAAGGGCTGGAGGAAGGGGTGGGGCCAGGGGTGGCCCGGGGGCTGCAGCGCCACCCGCCGGCTCTACAGCACTCTCTCTTCACTGCACGGTGGGGCGATTCTCCGCAGGTTTTCCCTGACTTTAATGAATTCGGGGGCGCGGTCCTCGTCCTTTTCTGGTGGTTTTTCCAGCTGAGGAGAGAGGAAAGGTGTGAAGAGGGTGGGGCCAGGGCAATTTCAACTCTCAACAGCCACTGGGTCTGGACCAAGGGTCCTCTCTGGGGAAACAGAACCAGGGATCAGTTTTGCCACCAGCCTGGTAGCTGGGGAGATAGAGTATAAGACTCAGTTCTCCCTGTGAAGCCTAATTCAAATTGTTTACCTCATTCGGGCCTCAAGTTCCTCATCTCTAAAATGGGAATGCGCCTGGTTCAAGGGCAGTTGTGAGAGTGAAGTCAGAATCAACGTGCAATCGATTGGGCCAATGAGGAAACTGAGGTTCAGAGAGGGGAAGCCACTGGCCTGAAGTCACACAGCGAAGTGAGTGGCAGAGTGAGGACGCAGGCCAGTAGTGGACTCATGATGCGGTCCTCATTTTGCTCAATTAGCCGCTGCGGCCACATGCAGAGACATTCTTGGAGGAGGCACTGGCGGGGCCAGGCTGGGTGCCCCTCTCTCACCTGGTTGAGCCTCTGCTGCCGTCTCAGCAGCTCCTGCTCAAAGGGACACTGCAGCCGTTTGGCCTCCAGCTCCTCTTTCTTCTTCTTGATGAGCTGGTTCCGCCTGCGGTGCTCCAGGACGCGCTGCAGCTCGGGCTTGCTGTCCACACCCAGGCCTCTGAGGTGGGGGGAAGCCGTCAGGAGACCCCAACTCTCCCATCCCGGTCTCAGGGCTGTACCCTGTAGTGACACCAACCTACACCATTACCTCATGCAATCCTGGCAGCCCGGCATGGGGCTGGGAGGTGGAACCCTTCCTGTCCCATCATAGGAGAAGGGACGGGAGGCGCACAGGAGCTCAGGCACCAGCCTAAGTCCCAGCTACAAAGGGGCTTAGTGAAGATTTGCAGAGACCAGGCTTTATGTTATTTCAGGTTATTTACTCAGAATATGTTTCCAGGGGTGGAACTGCTGGGTCAGGCTCTTTTAAAAGATTTTGGACGAATTTCCATCTACCCCTTAGAAAAGGTAATCCAATTTATACTTCTGTGAACAGTGTACAAGGGCATCTATTTTCCCCACCGTCACCACCCAATCCTTTTGTATTTATGAATCTTTTAGGCAAGAAATAATATCCGGTTTTCATGTTTCTTTGATTAGTCACATCAAACAGCTTTTGAGATGTTTACCAGCTATTTGCAGTTCCTCTTTTGTGAACTAACTATACCTGTCTTTTGCTTATTTTTTCCTTATGGATTTATGAGAGGTCTGTAGATATTAATTTTTGTCTGTTATCTATATTGCAAATATTCCCCGATTTGTCCTTAGGCTTTTAAAAAATTGTGGTAATGGTTTTTGACGTTAAAAGGGTCATCCTTTTTATGACTCTAAAAGGAAACCAGAAAAACACTCATGATATACTGAGGAGAAAATAAGAAACAAACGACATCAACGATACAAAATGTTGTCTGCTGGAAGATCCTTTGCACACAGCTGAAAACAAGAATGAAAATCTCAGCTCGTGCCAATACTAGAAGTGGCCAGGAGAGGGAGCTGCGAAGGCGCCACTGCCTATTTTTTCTGGCACTGATGAGCTGGGACTATTTTCCAGGACCCAGAGTGGACAGAGGCTCAGCTTCCCTGTCCCCTGGCGCAGTTCTAGCCCTGCCACCTCAGGGCTGTCTCTCTCACTGCCCCCTCCAGGATTGCGACACTCCTGCTTGAGACCCCTCCCAGGACCACATGGTTCCTCTGGTCTACCTCACAATCTATGCTCCAGTCGCACTGAGCAACCGGTGTTCCTGTCCACTTGCACATGCTCCTCCATCTGCTGGTAACATACTCCGTCAAAGCACCCATCGTACCACCTGATTATGCCTCCATCCCCTCTGTGAGGGCAGGAGTTTCCTTCTAGGACACCCGGAGTCTGGCACTGTGCCCGGCACATAGTAGGTGCGCAGGAAATGTGAGAATGTAGCAGTCAGGCACACAGTGGGTAGATGGGTGGGAGAACGGGCTTTTGGACCTTCACAGTTTCTGTTGGTAACCATGTGGGGTACCTTCAGCCCTCCTCAAGCTCCCAGGATTACCACCAGGCCTGCCTCCCACGAGGGGCACCTCCTCACGCCCCAGCAGGCCGAGGCAGCTGAGCACAGTTCCCACCTTCTGTGGTTCATGAGCAGCTCTCGGTGCAGCTCCTGGTGGCTCCGGGAGGCCTTCACGGGGTTCAGCAGCTTCTTGGGCTTGATGAGCTCCGGGTTCCACTCTCTGTACTCGGGCCGGGCCATCAGGCCACCGATGTCTGCCCGTTCCCTCTGGATCTCTGAGTACATGGAGGCTGTAGAGATGGGAGCTGGTCAGAGCAGGTCACAAGCTCACCCACCCCTGTGGGCACAGTGGAAGGGCAAGGGTTTTGGTCACTTTGGCCACCTGCTACTGTGTAGCCTGGGCAGACCAGCTGGCTTCCCGAGCTGCAGTTTCCTCAACTGTGAGATAAAAATCACTGAACCTGTGCACAGGGTTGTTGCAAGGACTAGATATGATGTCCGTAAAGTGGGGTACCGAGGCACAGTGCTACTGGGCCACAAAGTATGGGCTGGCCCGTCTCTGAACAAACAAGTTCCCTCCTGTGGAAGGGATTACACTTGAGTTTCCATTTTTCAATAAGCTCAGAAAAATAAAAAAATATTTTAAAAGAGCAATATGTACTTATTAAAGATAATTTGGATGAATGCCACAATTAAAAGAAAACATCACCCCTTATTGTCCAACTTCCCTATCCATAATTCCAAATTCCTCCGTAGAAGCTCCAGCTTTTCTCCTTCCCCAGATCAAAGAGGAGAGTGTGAAACCCCGAGGCTGCTATGCCTCTGATTACAAAGGGACAGCTGTCATCTTTAAGCAGATGTCTGGCTTCTCTGTGGCCTCATTTCTACCATAGCAACTTGAAATTGGTTAATTTACTTGAAATTCAGGCAGAAGGGCTCACTCCTCTACAAGCTGGCTAGATATCCTTGAAGTGCTCCAAAGCAAGCGCAGAGAGAGAGAGAGAGAGAGAGAGAGAGAGAGAGAGAGAGAGAAACATAGTTCTTAAGAAAAAGTCTCAGGGGGCATGACACAGCCTGGCCATTAGCTACTTATAGTAATTAGAGTGAACACTTAGGCACTGGCTCTGCCCCCTTTATGAGTCTGCTTTCCTGAGGTTGAGCCTCTTCTATATGCCAGGCACTGACTGTCTGGTCTGGTGCATATTACACACTTAATATTTGTTGGTAATTGGTAATAGAAACTTTGAGATTGTACAGATGAGGAAGCCAAAGCTCACAGGGATTGGTCATGGGGAACCAGTGCCTTAAGGCATGTGGTTTCCATGGGGCAACTAAAGGGGTTTGTCCCCACTTCACACACCAGGGTCAGATCCCCCCTCTTGAGGGCCACCATGTTGCCTTTGGACGGACCTTCACTTCTCTTATCCCCCCACCCCCACCCCCTTACTGGGAAGAGGATGAAAGCCATTCTCTGCCTGACTGGGTTTTATGGCTGAACAGGAGCTCTCCAAGTAAACCAGACAGGGATGGTGGGTCTGTGTGAAAACCTGGAAGTGGGAATAGCTCGGTGGGGTTGGAAATGCAGAGGTTGGTAAGTTGCAGTGTGACATGCCAGGGAGTGCAGGCGTCACAGAGAAGGCTATGCTTTGTAAATGGTGGCACACCAGACACGTCTTGGCATTTCTATTCATACCCATCACAGGGTGATTTTAAGAAGATTAAGAGAGACCACATTTGTGAAAGTGCTGTGTAAACTGGAAAAATGTTAATTATTTATATTTTGGATGTAGCCAGATTACGTGTCAGAGCATAAACATACCTGCTAATTTTTTCCCCTTGAATTCACATGATCAGAATTGTTTCTAAAACAAGAATGCTAATTAATTCCTTTCTCCTCCTTTTTATCATTAGGCTGCTTGTTTTCTGATTGTATCCTTCCTAATCTTTTGGTCCTCACAAGATAATTGTGGTAGTATTTGGTGATTAGTTAAAAGAAATGGGCACTTGACAAAAGAAAAGTTGGCTTAGCAATTTCCTCCCTGTTTAGAAATGTGAATATTTTCTTAGTCTGTGGGATTAAGCTGTCTGGGAGCCTGTGCCTTAGAACACCCTGATTCGGATTGGAGTTTGGGGAATTTCCCTCCTTAGGATGCCTGTTCCCATGACCAAGTCTCACCAACTGCTTATCTGAGTAATTCTCAGCTACATTCCATCCCGGTTGTTACCACACCACACTTAACTCTGCAGCTCCTTGGCTATCTGTCCCTTAGTCCCTTTGTGACTCAAACCTTCCAGTGCTTCCTAATTTTCAACAGTCACACCATCTTTAAAACAACTAAGTGTATGTAGCCAAACCAATAAGGCAGGAAACAGAAATAAGTTGTATAACTTTAGGAAAGGAGAGGGCAGAATTAATATTTACATAGGATATCATTATCTTCCCAGAATACCTAAATGCATGAACAGAAAAGCGTTTGGGACTAATGAGAGAATGAGAGAGTTCAATAGTGGGCAGATATAAAGAAGTATGCAGTTTGGCTCAGTGGTTAGAGCGTCGGCCTGCGGTACAGAGAGACCCGGGTTCGATTCCCGCTAAGGGCATGTACCTCGGTTGCAATTTGTCCCCGGCCCTGGTTGGTCGTGCGGGTGGCAACCACTCGATGTGTCCCTTCACATCGATGTTTCTCTCTCTCTTCCTCTCTCTCCCTCCCGCTCTGTCTGAACAAAAAAATGCAAAAATGTCCTCGGGTGAGGATAAAAAAAAAAAAAAAAGAATATGCAAAACCAAGAGCGCTGGCACAACAGGAATGGTCACTGGGAAGGTACATGATAACAAACATTCATTCTACAATATGTTTGGGTTCCAATAATTTTCCAGGTATTGTGATAGATACGGGACACACAGAAGTGAATGAAGCAATCAAGGTTCCTGCTCTCACAGGACTGACATTCCCCTAGGGAGGCAGACAGTCCATGGGCCTATAGAAATAAACAATAACAACCCATAAGGAGCCTGCTGATGGAACTGGGGGGCTGGGAGAGAGACCAACAGCAGGGCCCACCTGCAGCCAGGTGCAGGGGAAGGCCACTCTGGCAGGCAACATTTAAGATCTGACGGTTGAGAAGGAGGAGGGAGGCTGTTTGGGGCTAAGCGATCCGCACGTGTGACTAATGTACCTTGAACAAGCTTGGTCTGTTCGGGGAACAAAAAGGCGTAGTGTTCCTGGAGTGGCCTGAGCAAGCGACCGGGAGAGGGGAGTGAGTGGGTGGGTTCAAGTCTGGAAAAGATCGCGCCGCATTCGATTTTTAAAGGCCAGTCTCACTGCTGTGTGGGGGACACTGTCAGCAGGTTTGGAGAATTTTTTATTCGACTTTGGTTTCTTTCACCGCCCATGGGCAGTCTCTGTTTCTCCCGTTACATTCCAGAGGAAAACATCTGTTTGGCCAGGCTGAGAACCTTCACCCGTAAGTCACCAGCTAGCCAATGCATTCGCTGCCCTGGGGTCAGGCCCCCAACGCGAGGGTGGGGCGCAGTCACTCCGCGTCTGCGGAGAAGGGGGGCCCTGCAAGTTATGTAGCCAGCCCTGCACCCCAGGTCCAATCAGTGAGCAGCTCTGGCTCAACGCTCTGTCCAGACCTTTTATAAAACATGAAATCAGCGGTGAGCTGTGGGGGATGGTGTTTGTCACAGGCCAGGGGGTTGTGGTGGCTGGGACAGGGACCCTGAAGGATGTGGCTGGTTCTTCAGCCCAGAGCTGCGGGCTGGGAAAACGGCTGCCCTTCCCAGTCAGGGTGCGGGACTCCAGCAGTCAACAGTGTGGGGCAGGGGCAGGGGCGGGGGCAGGGCTCAGAGAGCTGCTGGGCTAGCCTTCCTGCCTTTTGTTAATCAAAAGAGGCCTCCGAGTAGAGTAGAAGAGCTTCACACACACACACACACACACACACACACACACACACACACACGCTGGAACAAAGGAAGCTGCTCCCCAAAATGCGGGTGACTCAAAATCTGGGGGCCAGCTGGGCCTCCTGACAAGAGGTGGAGGTCACGCCTCTCAGGCTGCTAGGGTGTCCTGAGAGATCCGAGACTCTGGGGGAAGTGACCATGATGGGCAAAGAGGTGAGGTGAGGTGAGGTGAGCATTAGGTCATCACTGCAAAGAGAAAAGATGGGTGTCCAGAGGAAGAGGCAGTGGAGGAGAAAGCTAAGTGGCTAGTGACTATCCTTCACTGGTTGAATGAAGCTTAGGTGTGTGGATGTTGGAGCCACTAGAACCTGGGTTGTATCCGGCTGTTCTTAGTTCTGGGCAGGCTTTCCTACCCTCTGCAGCAGGAGAGTTGAACTATACAGCCCTAGGCCCAAATCCAGCCCTTTGGAACACAGCCACGCCCACTCATTACTGACTGCCTATGGCTGCTTTCCACTGAACAGCAGAGGAGAGTGGGTAGGTAAGCTGCTCTCGATCAGCACCCTTTATGAGGTTGTTGCAAAATGAATGAGGTGATACTTGCAAGGTGCTGGGCAAGTGCCTAGCACAGGGTCAAGGACTCTAAGAGCTGGCCCCCAGGCAGCCGTGACAGCAAGGCCGGTTGTGCACCACACCACCCAGGGCTTCACGCCTGTAGATTACACTGTGAGCGGGGCCCTGGGATTGCCCGGGGCAGCCACCATTAGCTGTTAGCAATGACCACTAATAAATCCCATTCCTAGTCTTGGATTGAGCTTTCTCATCTTCCCTAAAAACTGCACTGGTTACACCAGGGATCTGCACATTGGCATCACCAGAGGGAGTTAGAAAAACACCAATGCCTGAGTCCCACCCCAGGGATTCTGGTTTAATTGGCTGGAGGCAGCCTGGCCTTTGGGATTTTAAAATAGTTCCCAAGGTGATTCCAACAGTCAGCCAACTCTGTAAACCATAGAGAATATCCATCTATATCTATATCTATATCTATATCTATATCTATATCTAATCTCAAGCTTCTTTGCTTTGGCCTGAGTGATTTCAGCTGACTTGTTGGGTACATCTGATTAAAGTCACAGTTCTTAGAGCTCTGTGACCTTGGATAAAACCCTCCTCCTGTAAAATCAAGATGCTGGGAAGACTGGATGAGCTAAGGAGCCGGGCAGGGGTGGCTAAATGGAGTGTTTTGCATGACTACAAGATGGGCAAATCATTCACCCTTAATGTGTGGACTGTGGGACCGACCTCGTATTTTGGGTGAGGGTGACAGTAGGTCAGAGGAGAGACTGGGAGATTGTCCTGTAGTTCTTCTCTGGTTCTGCTGAT